CCCTACAAGGTCAAAATACCGTACTTTCATTTTAGTGAAAAATGACTATTTGTCATTTTTGGAACAATAAAGAGCTGCTCTATCATGTTGACAAATATCCCGTGTCTCCTGTGTTGCACTTGAGGTTCTCTGACTGTTTTGTTGGGCTTAGTAACTTCATGCGTCGGTAAACAAAGCATTCTCTTTCCCGCGCTGTGTTTCGCCTTGGTATTGTCATACATTGAAGCGTTCCACACAAATGTTATACGTTATGCAGACGGAATAAAGAGTAAACATGTTATTGTTGTTGTTATGTAAGAGATTGCTGAAACTACAAATTCAAAACTAGTCATAGTAAAGTCAAGTAATGTCGTTAATAGGCATAAAAAAGTTCAAATATAGGATGTCCAAAAAAGTTATGAAAAAGGCCTAGTATAGTATGTCAAAAGAGGCATAAAAGAGTCATAGTATTGTTTGTCAAGAAAATCATAGTTTAAGCTGTTTAAAAAAAAAAAGCAAGAAAAAGTCAAAGTATAGTAAGCCTAAAAACTAGTATTTCTAAAAAAAAAGTCAAATAATATTATGTCCAAAAAGGTCATCAAATGTCAGGAAAAGTCATAAAACAGTCACAGTATAGTATGTCGAAAAAAAGTCATAAACAGTCAGAATAGTATGTTGAAATTCTTTTATAAAAACGTCATAGTATGGTATATCAAAAAAGTAATTAATACTAAGTGTATTACTTACTCAGTGTATTACTTACAGTAGATGGCGGTTGGCTCGCTAAAAAAGGAAGGTTTGAATGGCGACAGGAAATGAAAGGCTGGAGCATGAGGGTCACAATGATTTTGGTGTTGTGTGAAAGCGCAAAGTTTAGTATGTCAAAAAAAGGCATAAATAGTCATAGTACATTATGTCGGTGAAAGTCATAAAAAGGGTCAGTCAAAAAAAGTCAGAAGTCAAAAAAGTTCATAGTATATTCAGTTTAAGAATAGTCATAGTGTTGTATGTCTAAAAAAGGCATTCTAAAAAGGCAGTCATACTGTGCTATATAAAAAGAAGGTAATGGTTTATGTCCAAAAAGTCATAGTACAGTATGTTAAAAATAAGATATAGTATTTTGTGTCTAAACATGGCATAAAAAAGGCATAGTATATAGTATGTTAAAAAAAGTAATGAAAACGTCATACAGTATGTCGAAAAATCACTCAGTAATCAATCATTAACAAGTCATAGTATTTTTTTATTTAAATTGGTGCTCAATCAAAAAAAAGCATTCAAAAGATAATTGTTTATTATTATATACTTCTCTTTTGTTATTCACCTCTCCTCTAGTTTCAGGATCTTCACTTCCTGCCTTTGTGTGTTTGTGATGGTCTGCCTCGCCCCCTGATTGGATCTACCTGTGTCTAATCACCCACACCTCCCCAGTGTATTTAATCCATGTGTTTCCATGTCTCTGTACCAGTTTGTCTTAAACCTCAATGTCAAGCGGTCCAGCGATTTCCTTGTGTTCATGGTCCTGTTTTTTTTGTAAACTTTGCTTATGCAAGTTTTTTCTTCACCTCATTTTTGCTAAATCCCTTCCTGAATTGTTTACCTTATATTCTGTTCCACCAGTCATACACATATAAGTCCAAAAATGTCTTCAAAAAGACAGAGTATAGTCAGTTTAAGAATAGTATAGTATGCAAAAAAAAAAGCACAAAACGTCAAAGTATATTATGTTGAAAAAAGTCATGGAAGAGTCGTAGTATAGTAGGTCAAAATAAGGCATAAAAAAGTCATAGTATTGCATTTTGATAAAAAAATCTAAAATAGTTCAAGTATAGTATATCAAAAAAGGTAATACAAGTTATAGCATAGTATGTCAAAAATGGTCTCAGTATGGTCTGTCATAAAAAGGCATAAACAGTCAATGTATACTTTATAGAAAAACTGACTGTGGCTCAGTGGTAGAGCAGGGTTGTCCTTCAATCAGAGGATCGGTGGTTTGATCCCTGGCTCCACTATCCATGTCCATGTGTCCTTGGGCAAGACACTTGACCCCAAAATTGCTGTGAATGTGTATGAATGTTAGTTTGATGGGCACTGCCATCAGTGTGTGAATGGGTGAATGATGACATGTAGTGTTGGAAGACTAGAAAAGCGCTATACAAGTACAGTCCATTTACCTATGTATGTACAGTTGGTCCAAAAAAGTCAAAATATAGTTAGATTAAAAATAGCCGTACTATGCTATTTTGAAAGTAAGCATAAAAAAGTAAAAGTAATAGTAATGTGTATAAAAAAAATTAAGAAAAAGTCATATAGTATGTATAAATAGTCACTTAAAAGGCATACTATATTATATCGAATTAAGTCATTGAACAGTCATGGTATAGAATGTTGAAAAAAGTCATAAAAAACTCATAGCATGTCATTAAAATGTGATGCAGTTTATTGTATGGTATGACACTGAAAAGTCATTAAAAATTGATGGTACAGTATGTCGAAAAAATGTCCAACAGAGTCAAGAATAAACCAAAGTATAATGTCACAAAAGTCATACAAAGACATAGTACATTTCATCAAAAAACTCCAAAAAGCAAAAGACATTGTATAGTATGTTTGAGAAAGTAAAACAAATATATACCTCATTGAATGTTTTTTTTAAAGCCATAATATAGTAAATGAAAAAGTCATTAAATAGTCATTGAATAGAATGTCAAAACAAAGTGAAAAAGTCATGTTGGAGCATGTCGAAAAAAGCCATGAAAAGCCACAAAAAAAGTCAGTGTAGGATGTCAAGTCATAGAAAATTCATGCTATACCATTCCAAAGAAAGCGATAAAAAAGTCAAAGATGTTATGTCAAAAAAAGTTGTTAAAAAGTGTATAGTATGTGAAAAAAGATTCATAGTATCGAATGTTGTAAATGTTGAAAACAGCCATAGTATAGTATGTAGAAACAAGTCACAAAAAAGTAATGGTGTATATTATGTCAAAAAAGGGACAGTAGTCAAAAAGTAATACAAAAGTCATGGTATAGTCTTCTAAAAATCATCATATAGTAAGTTGAAAAAGTTGTAAAAACTCAGTATAGTATTTAATTAAAGATTTAAAAAATCATATAATAGTATGTCATAAAAAAGTAAATTAAGAATCAAACTAAAGTATGTTGAAAAAAAAGCATAAAAAGCATAATATATTACATACAAAAAGTCACTTAAATGCTTAATATAGTATGTCGAAAAAAGTCATACTATACTTATGACGAAGAAATTTCTAAAAAGCCATATACAGTGGGTACGGAAAGTATTCAGACCCCTTTACATTTTTCACTCTGTTTCATTGCAGCCATTTGCTAAAATCAAAAAAGTTCATTTTATTTCTCATTAATGTACACTCAGCACCACATCTTGACAGAAAAAAACAGAAATGTAGAAATTTTTGCAAATTTATTAAAAAAGAAAAACTGAAATATCACATGGTCATAAGTATTCAGACCCTTTGCTCAGTATTGAGTAGAAGCACCCTTTTGAGCTAGTACAGCCATGAGTCTTCTTGGGAATGATGCAACAACCTTTTCACACCTGGATTTGGGGATCCTCTGCCATTCTTCCTTGCAGATCCTCTCCAGTTCCGTCAGGTTGGATGGTGAACGTTGGTGGACAGCCATTTTCAGGTCTCTCCAGAGATGCTCAATTGGGTTTAGGTCAGGGCTCTGGCTGGGCCAGTCAAGAATGGTCACAGAGTTGTTCCGAAGCCACTCCTTTGTTATTTTAGCTGTGTGCTTAGGGTCATTGTCTTGTTGGAAGGTGAACCTTCGGCCCAGTCTGAGGTCCAGAGCACTCTGGAAGAGGTTTTCTTCCAGGATATCTCTGTACTTGGCCGCATTCATCTTTCCTTCAATTGCAACCAGTCGTCCTGTCCCTGCAGCTGAAAAACACCCCCATAGCATGATGCTGCCACCACCATGTTTCACTGTTGGGATTGTATTGGGCAGGTGATGAGCAGTGCCTGGTTTTCTCCACACACACCGCTTAGAATTAATGCCAAAAAGTTCAATCTTGGTCTCATCAGACCAGAGCATCTTATTTCTCATAGTCTGGGAGTCCTTCATGTGTTTTTTGGCAAACTCTATGCGGGCTTTCATATGTCTTGCACTGAGGAGAGGCTTCCGTCGGGCCACTCTGCCATAAAGCCCCGACTGGTGGAGGGCTGCAGTGATGGTTGATTTTGTGGAACTTTCTCCCATCTCCCTACTGCATCTCTGGAGCTCAGCCACAGTGATCTTTGGGTTCTTCTTTACCTCTCTCACCAAGGCTCTTCTTCCACGATTGCTCAGTTTGGCTGGACGGCCAGGTCTAGGAAGAGTTCTGGTCGTTCCAAACTTCTTCCATTTAAGGATTATGGAGCCCACTGTGCTCTTAGGAACCTTGAGTGCTGCAGAAATTATTTTGTAACCTTGGCCAGATCTGTGCCTTGCCACAATTCTGTCTCTGAGCTCCTTGGGCAGTTCCTTCGACCTCATGATTCTCATTTGCTCTGACATGCACTGTGAGCTGTAAGGTCTTATATAGACAGGTGTGTGCCTTTCCTAATCAAGTCCAATCAGTTTAATTAAACACAGCTGGACTCCAATGAAGGAGTAGAACCATCTCAAGGAGGATCAGAAGAAATGGACAGCATGTGAGTTAAATATGAGTGACACAGCAAAGGGTCTGAATGCTTATGACCATGTGATATTTCAGTTTTTCTTTTTTAATAAATTTGCAAAAATTTCTACATTTGTTTTTTTCTGTCAAGATGGGGTGCTGAGTGTACATTAATGAGAAATAAAATGAACTTTTTTGATTTTAGCAAATGGCTGCAATGAAACAAAGAGTGAAAAATTGAAAGGGGTCTGAATACTTTCCCTACCCACTGTATTGTCAAAATAATCATTTAAAATCGTAAAGAATGTAAAAAAAAGTCACAAGTCGTAGTATAGTATGTCATATAAGTGATAAAAAGCTATAGTATAGTAAGTCAAAAAAGTCATAAAAATGCCATGATATATTATGTCAAAAAGGCATAGTCTAGTATGTAATTAAAATGTCAAAAACAATCATCACTGCTGACGCTGTTTAGTTTTTTTGATGTATTTTTTTTAGCTTTAGCTATAGTCCAAAACATTTGAAAGAAGGCAGACATTTCTACTGAGGATATCTCCCGACTCAAAAACTGACTCACTCTAAAACAATCTCAATTTAAAAATAGGTAGGAGGAAAATATGTATTTTGGGTTTGTGGGTCAACTGTCCACTAAAGAGTAAATATATTGAAAATGGTTTTGAAAAAGATACTCAGACACAGGTAAGAGATTGCTGAACCTAGATTATCAGATTACAGCAGAAATGAATGATAGTCCAATTATTACTAATTATTAGTATACCGTATATTGCTACCAATCACAATGTGAAGGATCAAATGGAAGCGAATGCCTTTTGCCTTAGCATGCCCCTTTATTCTTTTTAAAATCTGTATTAATTGATTGCTACATTGACATTTTCAACATTTTGTTTTGATTTGGCTAAAGAATTTAGCAAACATTTGGATATGTACACATCAAGCAGACAATTGAATTTAATTTGTATAGCCCAAAATCACAAATTTGCCTCAGAAGACATTCATGTGGCGTTGTGTTTGTGTTCACCTGGTGAATGTCACTCCAATGTTCAATCTCTTTTTAGCTCTGGTTTGGTCTCTAGCTGAAAACTGCTAGTTAACACCAGCTAGTTTCTAATTGTCTGTCGGTGCTGGAACCTTTGCAGCTGGGAAAGGAGGTTGATGAGAGCGCCAACAATAACTGCATTACTACACATTAATAACGAAAAGTGTTGCAGACAGTTATCAAAAATATACGTGTAGCGGCAATCTTCCCTCCGTCCGATAGTCCACATTACCACTACTGTTACAGTCTGGGTTTGGCGATAAGCTTGATGCGTAATGATTCTTCGTAGGCAGTAGCTTCATTTAAAAAGGTTTACTCAACAAAATAAAGTTACAAGATACATTCTTTGCTCAACTTGTCACAACGTTAGCACAACGGTCAAAAAACTATGTTGCTCCGCAGACTGAATGACCTCAACTGAGGGCTGTTGGCTGTGACGTAGTCAGTAATGCAACTAAAGGAGCATTTCCACATGTTTGTTACACAAGTCACTTAAGACATCTTATCAAGTCTCATATGGATCTTACAATACGTATACATGATTTTTATTTATTCGCAAAAACTGCATCACACCCTGCACTCGTCAGACACTACCAGCGTCAGAAAGGGAAGATTGAGATCAGACTGAAACCACACAGAGACCACAGTGTCACAAACTCACACACTCAAACACACACACACACACACACACACATCACGGCTGCTGCATGTGCCTACACAGGGGCCGCACCATTTAAAAAGAAAAAGGGAAGCTGTCCTTTTTGGTATACAGTTTCAAAGATTTATGAAAATATTATTTATCATTTGTCACTGTGAAATATGTAATTTCATCATTAATTATGACAAGATTCTTTGACCATAATGTTCCATAACAAATGAGTTTCACCATAATGAAACATCTCTGTAACAATTAAATATTGCACCATAAAGTCATGGTTAATTCATATTGTTGACATTTTGACAATAATTTATATTTTTATAACATTTAAAGTAATGCTATACTTTGATAGAAACTAACGTTTTACAATAGCAACATGTATAGCTATTTGCATGCGTGGAGGTGCAAATAGCATGCATTAGAGATTGTTTTCTCTAAACACAGATGCATAACGTTAAAAACCACAGACTGGCCGCTTTAAAGCCTCTCACATGCTGCATTCACTGACACCAACGTGGAAATGTAAAGTCCCCCAAAGCCATTTGCTTACACATAGTATCAGCTCTTAAAATGACAGGTATTTTTTTCAAAAATATTCAACAATCAATAGCAGCACTTTTAAAAACAAATGTTGGGTATTACAAAGTTAAGGTAAAAGTTAAAGTTGTAAAACAAGCAAAATGATTTAGAGATTACTATTTAATGCAAGACCGTGTAACTTTTGACAAAATAAATAAATAAACATCCGGTAACAAATAAGTTAAATTCATGAGCATATGGTTGCTAATGTTAGCTAGCCCGTAAACTTTAGGTAGCAATTGCTTTGTGACTGACGTTACTGGGTCAGTTAGCTAACTCGACGACTCTCCTCGACACGTGCTGTTGTTACACTTGCATGTTCCAGGATTCACCATTATCCCTTATTTGTCAATTATTGACCATTTTGGCTGTTACACAGTTACAAAGGTTACACAGTACTGCTTTAAAGACAATGATTTCTAATTCAATGCCACCATGGATGTTACATTATGCTGAACATAATACTGTAGAAGGTTGGTAGTTGGTAGATTTCTGTCATATTAATGGTCAACTTAAATATATTCAACCCCTACCCAGAGTTTCATTAGAAACTAAGACGTTTTTTTTCTCATCAGACAAGACGGCAAACATGAGGAAATCCATGTATATATTAACAGGAAATGTATAGCTGCATTAGTATTCCTTACACCTTATATTTCTGATCAAAACAATTGGCCACCATGCACAGTGGTGTTATGCCGTGGTGGTGTGGCATCAGCACCACTTCCAGTTCGGTTGTTATCATGTTTGCTCTGATACCGAATGCTCTGTGCTGTTACTTTATCCACAGGGTCAATTTATTGTCAACGTCATTTTTACGGATTATATGGCAGGAAGAATTGTATACAGATTATGCTGCAAAATTAACCGATTTTTTATCAATATTAAAGGGTTTCTGCCTGCGGTCACATCATTACAAATATAAGAATAATTTCAACTTCTAACAGTACAATAGTAATGTAATGTGTCCAAAATGTAAATTACACATTATAGATTGCTTCTTGGTAGAGATAAGAATCCGCATTATAGAGCTTATGTTATAAATTGTAACTGATAGTTATATTAATGGTTTTCTGTTGTGTTGAGTGTCATTCTGTTCTGAATGTCAAGACCTCATCCACGATTGTCCTCTGTCACGCAGCGTACAGTGACGTACTGCTCAGAGCAGTGGTGGGGCCTATGAAGCTAGTTAGCCATAAGTTAAAATAACTGGTGCCTGTAATGCAGTTAAGAGTGACTGTGGAGCGATGGTAATAGTTATCTATTTTCGTCTTGGGGGTAGCCCCCCCTTATTTTCTATATGCCCACCCACAACATGAATTATGGCCATGCTACTGCTGGCAACATTGTTGTTAATGATTGCTTATAACTGATCTATAAGTTAAGGATTCATTAACCTTCTGTTGATCTCAAACTGCACCTCCATTTTGCAAACTGCACCTCCATTTTGCTCCCATGTCTACAAACCAGAGAAATGTAAACTGGGTGTAGCGCCCTGCTAATTTGTTTACATGTTTTTGTTTTTTTTAAATGTCTATAAAACAGTACTTTTGCATTTGTGTTCATAGTTTGGAAAAGTACTTATGTGTCCAACAGTTCGAGTTGCCTTTGAACCTCTCCTGTCCTTATAGTATTGGTTGGTCAGGTGTCAAATGTGTTGCCAGCAAATCAGAAGAATCTGATGAGACTGGGGTAACCTACCGGGTGCTCAAGGGAGCGGGACTAAGGACCGGGACGCGCGAAGAAAACAAAGAGAGAGCGGAGAGGAATGACATGGTTGTTGTTAACGTCAGAAACACGGACACTGGACAATGTGAATACATAGTAGAGAACTGAAAAGATAGTATAGAAGTGTTTAACAGGAAGCTCTAACTGTAGTGAGGTTTTCTTTTCGGGGAGACGAGAAGGCGGACAGGACAGTCGTGCTAAGGGCTGAACGCGGATGTTCGTGGAGTAACGGTGCGGCTTTGAAGAGGAATTAAGTGTGCTGCTTTTCATGGTAGTTTTCTGCTCGTGACTTCAACTGACGGAGCAGAAGAGGATTTGAAAGCACTAGCCTGTTTGCAAGGTTAAGAAATCAAGTCTGAGTAACCGAGGAACAGTGAGTAGCTACACCACAACTGTTCCTTCAGGATTTCAACTGAGCTCCAACGTACTGTCACACGGACTATCACATCCTTGGTATTATTATTGTGTTATATTGTATGTTTCTGTGGGTCACAATGTTGATGTTAAAATAAATGTTGACTGTTAAATATCCATTTGTGGAAGTAATGTATGTCAGGGCTACATAGGAATGCATGGGAGTTTGAACTCATAGGACAGTATAGCTGTATTAAGCTAACCAGGCGTCTCTGCACATTAGACAGTATATTCGTTTAAATTGATATTGTAGGCATATTCCTAAATTCTATATTTTCGTAGACCCTCTCCAATTCACCTCCCATGCAACAGGAGTATAATCTCAAGATCCTGAACTAAATTTGAATTGAGTAGGTGGGCTACAGGGGCATTTACAGAGGCAACAAAGACGTCATTGTAGGCGAATCCTGCTGTATTACAACTCAGTAAAGTCACTCCAGATAGAGAAGAAAATGTTTTCTGTCCAATGCCTTTGGATGATGGTGATGATGATGTAAACACAGCTGAGTGGGCAGCAGGCTCTCTTTAGGGCCACTGCTAGATTGAGTATTTACGGGCAGTCTTATTGTCTAAATCCCACTGCTCTGATGCCTCTACTAGCTTGGTTCCTGACTGCTCACTGGATTGTTTTAGCTGGCGTTCAGTCTCTTGAGTCCTCTCTGTATCTTGGCTTGGCTCTTCAATGCCTGTCACACAGCTGGGCTTTCCATCACTGTCCACACGTTTGTCAGAGTGTCCATTATTCTGTACAATTAAGGGTATGATAGTTTTTACATCAGTCTGTGTGATAAAAATTGTGGTTTTGGTGGGAATGTTTGTTTTGAAGTTGTTGAGTGTGCTGGTGTGCGTGAGCAGCACCACGGTCGGATGACCGTTGTTGTCGTCGGTGGCGACCTCCTGGGAATCAGTGGCAGGGTTGGCGTTGCCACGGCGACAGCAGCAGCATAGTATCCTAACAATAGGCCTGACTATGGCTCTGTACAGGCCGCGGTGGGCACTTTCGCTTACGAAGCAGTAGAGAGCAGGGTCGGCCACGCAGTTCAGGGTGGTCAGCAACAATGACAGGTGGTAGTAGTTAAATATTTCTGTAAAATAACGACACAGGCCACATGGTTAAGACAAAAAAGTTTTCATCCATAGGGTCTGAACACATTGAGGGCGTGATGAATAAATTACACGAAAATGCGAATATTCCCCCTGAAACCTTCATTCATACAGGCAGTGAGAGCTGCAACACTTGTTCAATAAAAGGTTTGAATTTGTGCAAGCAGAGGACCAACTACAACTACAACTGACCCACAGCAGGGTCTGAGCTTAATTGTTTTATTGCCTAAAGCTACTGTAAGCCAGGAACAGACTGACCATCGGGAAGTTCTCGAAGGCTCCATTCCAGAAACCGGCCTGTAGTCAGAGAGTTTGTATTTTTTTATTTCTGACGTCAGAAGTTACTGTATGGTCCGTGACCATGGCATGGGACAGCGAATACTTAACATTTTGAGTGAATTTTCAGTCCCAATCCCTGTAATAAATTTTGCCGTCTTGGTTCAGACTACAGAGCCTCCATGTTGTTGTATATTGTACATTCGAATATGTCCGTTTTGTAAAACGTGATTGGTTGATGCCTTTATTTGCAGCGCTAAAGCTCAGAAAAATCAACCTTGTTTGGGAAAAACAAGATTTCTACGTATATTGGCGTACAAACTAATCGTACAAATAAAAGACGCCCTCGGTGTGTAAAGGCTTTTAGTCACTGGATGACTTTGCAAAAAAATGCACTGTACCTGCAATAAAGTTGCAGTCTCGCTCCAGCAGGGTGCGTACTAACAGGAAGATGTGGTAGGGGGAGAAGCAGACGAGGAAGATGAGGACGGTGCTGCTGACTAACTGCCTGATCCTCGTCTTCTGATCCGGCTGAGTCCCAGCACTCCGACCCACGGCACGGAGAACACACAGGTAGCTGATCTGGACAGAAAAAACAGAAGTCATTTACTAATAGATGTTGTGCAGTAAAGCAAGACTGTGTCCCCTAACCTTTGCCAAATAGCTACCAACTTGGTCATTTCCTCACATTCTCTGGAGTCAGTTCCTTGTTTATCAAAGACCATTTAGACCACAATCTTGTGCTTGTTACATTTTACTTTAACAATGAAACCATTGAAATATTTATCTGTGACATGCTAAAATGTAGTTTAACAGAAGCAAAAGTAGAGAAGAATCTCACTCTAACTGAGAAAAGAGTCTTTTCAGAACTCAATCTGATTAACACAAACACACTGGAAGCATGGCTTATACATCAGTTCTCTTTGGAGACACAGCTCTGTTATCCATGTTTAGGGATGATGTCAGCTTCCATCTATTACCAGAAACAACTGTTCAAGAGGGAGTTTTATTTACAGCCCAGCTATCAGTGGGTGGGAAAATGAAGTGTGGTGTTTTAAATATAGGCCAATCATCTGTCACTCTGAATGTCCCACAAAGACTCTCTCGCCATGTTAAAGCTGGGTGGTGCTATGCTGAGTGTTTATATGATGTCACAAAACTCTATGGACTAGTAAGATTGAAAACAGGGTAAATTGTCCCAACAGGAGACTCCACACAAGTGCAGTTTGTGCACGTCTACAGAACCTGTTCATCCTCCCAACTCGTCAAATATCGCCGCTTGCACCGAGGCAGCCTTCAGCGTCTGTATGAGGTGCTCCAAGCTCTGATGTGAACTCATCCACTTCATAATTAGACAGTAAGAGCAACTGACGTAGTATAAAGAGTGAGCAAATTCGTGTAGTAGTAGGGGAGGTTGGATGGGTCAAACAAAAAATTCACGTTTACTTATTTTACTGTAGTTTTTTCACAAAACATCCGTACTTTGCTAAAGTCAGTTACGTAAAACAAACATACTTATTTGAACCCAAACCCCAATCTTTTCCTAGACCAGTTTTAAAAGTAGTAGTAAAAGTAGCTTATTTTGAAAAGACACTGTATGCATGTAACGAGTGGAAACTGTACATTTCTTGTGAACACTGAAGTTTATTTTGAAAAGACACCATGCACGTAACAAGAAGGAACTGACGCGTTCAAAACTGACGCCATGGTGGTAGAAAGTCATAGTTTGAAGCGTAAGGCCACTGACCAAGCATCGGTATTTGACGACTTGTGAGTAAGAACGTGTTGATCTACACAGTCCTGACAAGAGGTCTAATTAGGAAATATAAGTGAAAACACCTGTGTGGGTGTCTTCCGACAGCAATACTAAAGCAGAGATTTCAGGCACAAAAAGGTCATTGTCATTAAATATATGTGTTCAAAATATCAATAAATCAACACAAATGTGATCAAATGCAGTAAAGTGCTACAGTATCAAAATCTTTTAAAATTAGATTATTATTGTAGTAAAACGGCTATCATACCGATAGAATAGCCAGCGGGAACATGAAGCCAATAATGAAGCGGTAATAGTTGATGGGATACTCCCACGGCTGCATGGGGTAGTGCTCGAAGCACACTGATTGGTTCTTGCGGTCTTTGCTCAGTTCTTTATTGCGGAAGAAAACCACACCGATGGCGATCTCTTTCAGCCAGATGACGACACTGACAAGCCACGCTGCACTCATAGAGCGGAGAGAGGTGAACCTGGAGACAGAACAGGGACAGAAAGGAGAAAACTGGTAATTAGCGTTAAATTAAAGCTCATATATTACAAATCTTATATTATATTATGAAAAGGTAACAGTGGCGGTGACCTGCTGTTATAAATTACCTTAAAGGATGGACCACAGCCAGGTAGCGATCCAGGCTGATACAGCACAGGAAACCAATGCTGATGTAGATGTTCTCATAGAGCAGGAAGCCGCAGAGCTGACACAACCACTCCCTGTGACTCCAGTCATCATCCTGAAACAGCAACACACATACATGAGAGTAGACTAGCTCGGTTTACGAGACAACAGGTAGGTAACACTTGGTTAAAAGCAGATGGAGCTGGACTGTTACATGGATAAATAAAAATTAAAGGTATAATTAGACTGACATCACATTCTATAATGAACAAATATCAAAATAAGTCTACAATGTCTGTTCACACACATTTTTGTTCAGATATTAGGAGCTGCATAAAAAAGTCCATAGACAGCGATAACCTACCTATAATGTATTGTGAAAAATCACAACACAAATTAAATTTTTTTTTCTCGAAATTTTTGTAGATGAGTGGTTGTAGTCTACCTGAAAGAAATACTGAAGCCACAGTGGTAACGATGCCAGGTATAACAGATCAGACACGGTGAGGTTCATTAAATAAACTCCCAGCTCATTCTTCTGCTTCAGCTGCAGAGCAGCGTGGTACAAAGAGTACAGGTTGGAGGGAACGCCAACCTAGAATCAAGAAGATCATTTAATGCGATTATTCTGACACCAGGCAGCTTTTTTCATTACTTGATTACTAAAAACACATATTTAGAACGTCCACATTGGATGATTCAACAAAACCCTGGATTATGTTCAACAGCCTATGTGATCCATATTCACTGTTCAACCGTTTTTATTTTCAATGCCTACATTTTTAAAATGCACTCTTTGTAAAACATCTGCACATGGGAACTTTGGTATGGTTAGGGAAACAAAACACAGTTAAGGAGTGTATAGTTTAAGTAACTGTCGGCAAAGAGCATGGTTATGGCAGGTTCGTTGCGGTTTTGGTTTCTAAAAAGGCAAACGTTAATTACAGCTCTGTAAGATCTGACAGAACACAAACTGTCTTCTGCATGAGAGCAGAACTCACTACACGCCCATCCGCCTCCAACCTCCACACCTCGCTACATAATGGGTCATTTGACAGTGAATGTTGACATTGCAGTAAATCGTGAGGTACAGAATCCTCCAATATGGAAGGGATTCCTAAGGATTCTGGACTGGCAGAAGAGTGTAGTTTAGGGCTCTTGGTGACATTAGGGTGGAAGGTGGACATTAGGGTGGAGGCCCCACAGCAGAGAGTGGCAGCAGCTATACAGCTGGATGCATGTTATAAAACCTGCCTGTTGCAAAATGGCAAATGTTCTAAACAAGTTTTGGCTCAGATTTATTCTTTGCAGAGTTGCCGCAGAGGTATAAACCCAGCACACATTGGGAGAGCGTCACTGTACACCCTAGAAACCCATGTGTGACCAAAGCACATAACTCCGGGATTCAGTCACACAATGCAAACCTTTAGTGGAAAAAGACAACGTAAATTCTTTACCCATTATCCAGCAGCAGGTTGTATCTCCAAAGTGAGTCCACAGATATCCCCCCCATGTCATTCACATTAATACTAATATTAACTAGAAAATTCCTAAAGAAATTTTGACAGTGTGGCTTCTACTGCCCGAAGTAATCGCAATATATACACACGCCAATGTTACCGGTAGAGTCATTCAGGTTCAATTGAGATAGCGCTACTCTCTTTTCTGCATTTTAGATTCATACTCTTGGATTGAATCTTGTATTTGTGGGGCTTTTATTTTGAAAGGGTGGGACTGGGTGGGTGAGAGAGGGGGAGAGGAGACAGAATCATAATGTTTGACACTAAAATGAGAGGCTTCATCACAAGCATTCCAGTTAGAATTCATTCTGTGTAGCTTTTAATTTGAAATGGGGGGGGGGGGGGAGTCCTCTAAAAATATCTAAGACCTGAATGACTGTATGATAGAGACTCAGAGAGGAGAGAGAGACAGAGTGGGAGAGAGACAGGCAGACAGACAGGTCTAACAATGCCTTTGACTGAATATCTCCAAGTCATCTGTGTGCGTAGAGACAGAGAGAGAGAGAGCCTGCGTGCGTGTAGTAACTGGTTGCCATGGTGATGACGCACCTGGTGCTACAGGCAGACTGATTATGAAACATTGCAATAATCAGTGATTTTGAACAAAACCCCTGCCTCTTTTTAACAAATTAG